ATATTTTCCTGCAGTAAAAAGTATCCTATATGTTGACCCAGCTATCATCATACTAAATTTCAAAAAATCCCTGCAGTGGTTTTGATGCGGTAAGAGACAGACAGATAGACAAAAATTCTAAAAACTATAAGATTCAACCTGTATATCGATACTAATGTCTATTTTAATAAGATTTTCCAAAAAAATAGGTAATGTACAGATTCGGCTTAGTAAGAATTTTATTATATATATAGATAGATTTCTTAAAAATAGATTTATTTCTTTATAGTTAACATTTATTATAAGTTTCTTGTGTAATTTTATAGATCATATAAAGATGAATGACAGCAAACAGCAAAAAATAAACGAGCCCTAAAAGATCGCTGTAAACCTTCAATTTATTGTACTACACGCCCTTCAAAACTTTTACGATTTCAAATGAAAATAAACAGCTAACGTAACAATTTACTCGCGTGTATCGTATGCCGATGAAGTTAAATTACCAAAAGAAAAAAGGTCTTTCCGATTTTTTTTTTCACCTCCGCTTTGTTTCTGTAAACTTTTTGGATCGCATTCAATGAGCCGTTGAATGGTTGTGCGAAACTTCTAACGATAAATACTTACAGATACTCTTAGGGATTAGGAAATTCGGGCAAATAGGAAAGGAAAAAACTATTCAAAAACAAGGTAAAAACTGTTAAATATATTAAACAAGCTAATTTCAATCCAACATCTAGTTTTGTTGACTTTTATATATGTGTTTTTATATGTACGAGTATATGTATAGTGTATAATTATGTATGTTTGTAAATCATTTATGTGATATGGTATTTAGTGGAACAACTGGGCTATATTTGGATAGAATTTAGTATACAGCTCTAAATATCTCAGAATTAGAGATTTGTCATGATGATATGAAAAACTCTTATCTATCTCTTATCATATACATACAATCTTTCTCTACTGTGGTAATTTTAATAAAACTTTTATTTGTTTTGGGCAATATCTTAAGGAAATATATTTAAATTTCAAATTTAGGTTATCGAGTAGATTTAAAAATATGCCTTGAGCTTCATGTTCTATGTACACGCTGGATATAAAATGGAGGTCACTTATACAAACTGAATATTAAAGGAAAATATATGCGCAAATGAGTTTGAACGCATTGGCTAGTCAATAATATAATAATAAATTTAGATACAATCCACACTACTAATTCACTGCAATCGTGCTGATTACATGACAAAGCCAATTTCGATTAGGTTCGATATAATGGATGGCCTAAATCTGTAATTTGACGTAAATTAAATAGTTTAACGTTGTATCAAAATAATGACGAGTAATCATTATTGCAAAGAGGAAATCATGAATTTAAAATTTTAATAGCTACAACTACTAAAGAAAAAAAAAACATTTTCTCTGAAAAAGAATATGGTACTGAACTGGTTTGTCTTTACCTATTTATTCATAGACTAGCGACTCACCCTCGCTCCGCTTAGGTACGTCCTTTGGCAAAATTTAACGATTAGTATACATTTCTCAGAGATGAGATATTTTCTCAGACTCAATGATTTTTATAAAATTATAAAGGCAAAGGAATTATAGAGGCAAAATAATAATCTATACGTATAATAAAATTCTAATTGAGTCGATTCTGTACATTAAATATTTTTTGGAAAATCTTATTGAAACAGTCATTATTAATCTATAGTTTTTAAAATTATTGTCTGTCTGTCTGTGTATTTGTCTGTCAGTGACCGCATCACGAGAAAATACTGGACAGATTTTGGTGTTTGGTATGATAGCTGGTTATCCGGATCGATATATGGGATACTTTTTACTGCGGGAAAATATCTCATCTGTGAGAAATCTATACTAAACGTTGAAACGCTAGTTTAATATATTAAATTATACAATGCACATTTATTATATCGTGGACATTTAAAGAACATAATATTCTAGGTCGTTTATCATCTCACCCTAGTTTCCGTGATAGCTTCTGATCTTGAATTATATAGACTAAAGTATATAAGTAGGTATATATGTGTGTACTTTAATGGTCAGAGTACCATCTAACTGTAGTAGGATATTATATAATTTGCCTGATTGATGCTGCCTGATTAATAAATATAAATACTTTCTTAGATTTACGCGAATGTTTTACATTTTAAATAAAACACTTTATACACAACAACAATTAAGAATCTTAGTCTCTCTCTCAGTCCTTCACTGCTCTAAACTGTAAAGCATTCGATACGTCGGAAGCCAAAAATCAAAATAAATCCGCGAAAAAATCCGAAACGATTGTATTTTAGTTTAACAATTTTATTATACCTATAATAGGTAGAATGGTTTTGAAAGTGAAAAGCGAGGAAGTTTTAAATTCAATTTTATTTTATATTAATATGTTTTAAATATCTAATGTTAAGTTTAATCTTTCCCATATCATCTCGTACAGATTTCATAAGAAAATTGTTATTATTATATACGGCAATACTTTCAGTATAATTTAACTTGAGATACACTTAGCTCTCGAAACCTCTATATCGATAACCTCCAATACAATCCTTGTAGCAATTGTTATCCTGGAATAACACGAAGCCCCAAAGTTGTGGAATCTCGATCGGGCTTATGTAAATACAAGCGAAGTTAACAACCAAGTTTCAATAGAGATTTGCATGTGACTGCATATTACATCGTTTCATGCCCGCGGAATTATCACGACAATGTATTGAATTGTCAATTATATATTATATATCAAGTTTTTTTTTAAATAAAGAAAAAAATATTCAAAGAGATTTCTTGTTAATTATCATATATCCGATGGCGATATTTATATTGTTATGTGCAATACAATGTGTGTTTAGATACTCGTAAAATCTAGCTAGATTACAAGTGACTGAATTAAATCTGTTAAAATGGAAAAAAACTATGCTTTCGGTGTCATCTTTTGTTTTTGTAAAAATAAAAGGTCAACTCTTAAAAATGTAGTATTTCAACAACCAATACTAACGAAAAATGTTTAAAAACATAAATTACAAATTTGTTCATGCCGTGAATCTTTCCAAATCCATTCGGGAAATATAATACATTTGAAATTCCCAATTTTCTATAGAAATAAAATATCTAGTTACAGCTTTTTTCGGTGAAGACATAAAACTCGTAAGATTGGACCTGCTTCAAGCCATTAAACTGTGCAGTAACGTCACGTAGCGCGAAATTACAACAAAGTGCGGTGTCCACACTAATCTTTTTCTGGCGCAATATTGCAAAGTTCGTCACGAGGAACAACTTTCAAATGCTGCGAATGCTTTGGTAAAAGAAATACAAGCGAAAAACATGTACATATAATTTTTCATTTTCTGTTTTCCTTTGTGTAATTTTAGAATATTTTTTTTAGATTTCCACTAGAAACAGTAATGCTTCAGAGAAATGAAATTTAATAATCCAAGTTTCAAATAACAATTTGTTACAATAAAGTTGCCTTAAATAAACGTAGAAAAAAAAATATTCTTCCAAAAAATTAAAATCATGTTATAAAGTCAGGGGCCACTCATTAATTACGTAAGGGTCCTGAATGGGAGCGGGGGAGAGGGGTCTTCAAAATCTCTACATGCCCTTATCTCGGTAGGAGAGGGAGTGGGGGTGGGGGCTGCCATTCTTACTTAATCTATACTAAATTTATAGAGGTAAAGCTTGTGAGTTTGTGATGTTACCTACAACGGTTATTTCTGGATCTACTGAACCGATTTAGATGACATTTGGTAAAAAGATAGTTTGAGACCCTGGAAAGGACATAGGCTACTTTTTATCCAAGAAATCATTCCTTAAAGGGGTGAAAATGTGGATGAAAGTTTGTATGGGGAATCAAGCTAGGGACGAACCCGAACGAAGCGTGGGTGAGTCGCTAGTATTTTATAGATCGGAAATGTGCGATTTGTAACATAAGAGTAGTAGTAGCATAACTTTTAAATATAATATAGATAGAGTACACAAGACTTTAAATGATATAATCGTCATCTAAATCTAATAATAATATAATGGCATAACCTAAAATCTTACGTAAGAACGGGGAGAGGGAGTCTAAGAAATCTTGTGTTCTTACATAGGAGTAAGGAGGGGCGGGAGGGGAGGTTGTCAAAATTAGCCAAAATTGTCCTTACGTAATTAATAAATGTTCCCCTTACACTTGCATACTAATAAATTAAGCTTATACATTTTATATACAGCAGGTGTATCACCATACGTTGATGATACTATAACAAGTTATCAAAATTTCATGACATAGACAAACTTTCAGTTTTATACCTAGATTATACTATTATAAATTTTATATTTGTAGGTTTTTCTTTTTGGGGACTATCACAGCAAAGGTTTGGATCGATACCTAGTTGCGATAATTGTTAAAATATATATTAACTTTACTCTACTGTATTATAACTTTAGATTTTTAGTATTAAAAAAAATTGCTACTTAATCATATTATAAATTGGTACATTCGCCTAAAACATGTCATAACAATTAGTTCAAACTAATAAAAAACCTTGGCCGTAAAAATCCGTGGAGAAATGTAAATCATTGTAAGACATACGGTATTACTCGTATTTTATTTTATGTAGTTAATTATCTGTCCCAACCACTGTTATTTTAGCAAAATTAGGAGTAAGTAATACTAAATATTTTTTTACATTTTTTTTTTATATACATACAATTAGTTAAGATAACTTAAACCCTATTTATAAAAATTTTAATGTTTTATAATTTTTTACCCTTATTTTGTAGTAATTTTATTTTCTTTTCATATTAGCAGTGCATGTATGTAATTTTGTTGGTCAATGCTATGGACACCTGTAAGTAACTAACATACTAGAACTTGTGTATTATGTTGTTGGTGTTCTTAATAAATTAAAAAAAAAACATGTAAAACACATAAACATGTGACGACAAATATCAACATTGTGATCCCATCCATCCCTAAAGGCATACAAAATAAAGCATAAAACATTCAGAACAATACTTACAAATCACGTGCAAATTAACTGGTGCTGATCTTCCGTCCCCTTCTACATTGGAGGCAATACAGACGTACTTGCCAGCTTGTTCCCTCGAAACACCCTGTAGAGCTAAATGTGCAGACCCTGCTATCACTCCCGCTCGCTGATTGTGCTTCATAATTTGACCCTAAAACAAAGATTATTTTTAATAACGAACTGGGCCACCCTTTCCCTAAAGGGTAAATTAAAATTAATATCAACTGCGCAAATTAAATGAATTTTAAGCCAAGTCGTTAAACGATATTTCATGCTTACTGTTAATTATGTTGAGGGAAATGTGTTATGAACTGGAATTGTAAGAAAATTCATAAATTGTAGTGTAGGAGCTGGTGTTTTAATTGGCTAGAGTTTTATACCGATGTTATGTACAACGAAAACTAATCCTTGTTAATTGGTTGATAAGTGTTAATTTAGTATATTTATTTCTATTGATACAAATAATAATAAGAAAACCTCTTAATTTTCTTATAATTCAATATACTGTAATATAATAAAATAAAAATGTATTTACCGACAAAATGTAACTTTATTATGAATATTTTTCAGTATTTGACAAATTTCCGTGAAAGAAACACCACCTCTTAAACTAAGTACTTTTTAGGCTAAGGCTCATTGGAAAATTAATGTTATTTATAATGTTTATAATCAATAAGTAACAAAAAAACTCATTTTTACATTTCAAGTATGAAATAAAAGTTATATTAGTCTTAAATTAGGATATATATTACATTATGTACCTACGTACGAAATGGTAAAGGACTTAGAAGTAGTTAAGTAATTGATCCTGTTAAAACGTGAATTTCCTTAACTTTAAGTAGCTAAACACTTTATACTGTGCAGACATTAAGCCATTTTACTCACATTATGCTCCCAAACAACTTTATAAGCGCTTGGATTTGCGCTTACAATACATTCGAAGTACATGTCGTCGCCTTCTTCTATATCGTTTGGGTTCATCTTGGAACCCATCCTGAGTTCAACTTTGGGAACATCTGTTAAAAATAAGAACATTTTGTTATTTGTGTGTAGACTGTCTGTAAAAACTATATAATACCTTTGAGACATCTAACACCTCAGTCTCTCCCGTGACCATGATTGCTGTAAAGCATTCGAAACGTCGGGAATCAAAAATGAAAATAAATTCGCGAAATAATCCAAAAAGATAGTTTTATTTCAAAAGAAAGTTTTTATTTATTTATGGCTACACTATATTCCTTATTGAGTGGGCAGGACACTATATCACTATATATTTTCAAGTTAATCAATTTTAATTTCGGACATGGTAATAAAGTGATATTGGGTACATCACTCCGTTCTTAGCTTTTCGTCAATGTCAATCCATTGTGTAATCGGAAGCCATTCTGAATATCTCGCTTTATGTTAATTAGACTGGGGTCAACTCTGTATCAAATATCGTATCGAGATCTGAGAACACGTTTGGCTTAGTTTGTAGTGACACTACTTGTTGTGCCAGCAGTTGCGGGTTCGAGCCCCGCTGGGGGGCATTCATTTGTGTGATGAGCACGAATGTTTGTACTCCAGTCATGAGTGTTTATATTTATAATATGTATGTATTTATTTAAAGTTATATATGTGTAGTGTATCAACTATCTGGTATCCATAAAACAGGCCTCGTAGCTTACCATGGAACTAGTTAGTGCTGTGTTAATGTCCTAACATATTTAATTTAATTTAATAACATCTGTATGATGAATTTAGCTGTTGACGAACGAGCATTGAACCTACGATAAAATTAGGCAGAGATAAATAATATATGCCTTATCAAATAACAGTATCTAACGAAATATTAATGATATTTTTAAAAATACATGCAACACTCGTTGCAACAAAGTTATGTACAATTTCTTTTGCTTTTCTAAAGTTATTCCGTCACTAGCGGAGTTACTTTAATGCTTTTTTGATGATCCTCCGTTGCTACTTTTACAACTACTTTGATAAGCCGTAATTTATTACATACTAATATAATTTAAAAATCAATGGAAAATTGGTCTCTCTAGAACATTATCGTTTTAATTAATGAGTTTGCACTATTTGTTTTTACCTTTTATAAACCAACTTCCAAAAAGGAGGAGGTTCTCAATTTGTCGGATTTTTTTTATATATGTTCATCGATTACTCCGATATTGACTAAACCGATTTAGTTTTTTTTTGGTTTCGAAGGGTATACTTTCCAGGTTTAGGTAATAACGTCTAGTATCTATTCTAAATAAAAAGCCCCGTTTAGTATTTTTTTACATTTTAGTGTCTGGAAGTCGGTTTTTATTACTTTTTTTAAAGTTTTTTTTTATGGTCTATATGATTATTATTAGGCTTACTCATATATATTAAAAAAAGACTAAAATCTATACATAGTAGTAATGAGATCGGATTTATAAATATTTCTATAGTGTTGAGAGTGACATACAGACAAATTGAATACGTCGTCTTTTTTTTTTAAATGATGTAATAGGTTTTTTCTGCGTTTTTGATATACTATTCTTGTAAATGTTATATTATGCCTTAGCTTTTATTAATTTAAATAAATCGGTTATGTTATAATTGGACAAAAAACCTAATTACACATATTTGCCATCTCACTGAGACTAGCCAACTGCGCAGGAGTCATAGTGTACAAGCGTACACGCAGACACTACATGCAATCTCTATTCCTGTCACTCTCAAACTCCGATGGGATGACAGTTCATCACAGACTGACAAACGCCTATAAAGTCTACGTCATAATTAGTAATTACAGACTAAAACCTCTTTGGACCGAATGGCCACATCGGCCAATCTAATCGTAGCTAGTTTCTATATATTATGCAGATTTTATAAGTCTGATGAAACGACAAAAAAACACGACTGGAGGGAGATTAAATTTGGGAATCTATTGCTTCTTCCTTTTCTTCTTCTCACAGCTTTTTCTGGCTTAAGCAATTTGTAGCCTTTTGGGATATAATTTCCGTGCCGTCGAAAATACGGAAGTGCGATTCAATACATCCTAGCTTTGATCTGCCATTGAAAATTAAATGATAAATAATCTCAATATCTGTCTTAGCCTAACCTGGGATTTGAACTTATTACCATATCTACTGTACAGTAAGGCGATCAAATAAACACGTGCACGATACAACCGTTGTTATAAAAACTGTAAGAAGCGTTTGTTATTAAAAGTTTTGATGCGTTGTTAAAGTCTTATCAGGTATTTAATTGAATCCATTTTTAATTTTAAGTTGATTTTTCCTCTCTTCATTAAGAAAGTCTATGTCTTGAACAGGTGCAATTTCCAATGATGGAGTTATCACATAAAAGATTTTATTATATCTTTATTAAAGTCAGGAAACGAGAAGAAACTTGAGATTGAAAAATATATTTCATTTCAAAACTACTAGAACTTGTAGGAATTCAAGATGATATTGTTATATAATATCATTTTCTTTTTTATACAAAGTAAGTTAAAAATTATACCGGTTGAAATTATAAAATTTTTATTTGTAGGTTAAGCTTAAATGAAGCTATCACTTTGCATATTGGCACTTAGTAGAGCGATGATCTCGTACAAGGTTTAGATATACAAATGTACACTTATGTGATATGAATAAAAAGTAGGTTTTTATCTATACATATAATAAAATTGTAGCTACGCCGAATCTGTACATTAAATATTTTTTGGAAAATCTTATTGAAATAAACATTATTATCGATACAGAGACCGAATCCTTAGTTTTTAGAATTTTTGTCTGTCTGTCTGTTACCGCATCACAGAAAAACCACTGGAGGGACTTTGATGAAATTTGGTATGGTGATAGCTGGTTATCCGGGTCAACATATAAAATACTTTTTACCGCAGGAAAATATCTCATTTCTGAGAAAAAAATACAAAAACTGCAATGTAAGAGTATACTACGAGTAATATGTAAAACCTAAGAATTTGATTTTGGTCATCTGAACGCGGGTGAAGCCGCGGGCAATGCTAGTCCTTTTATAAATTAAAACAGAAAGTTACTTAAAGAACTAGTTACGTGCATAACAGTAATTATAGTATTATTCTTAGTAATTCTGTGCACTCATCCAAAATATTAATTTATATTGTACAATACTAGACTAAAAAGGCTATTACTATTTAATAAATCTTATTTTCTCTTACTTATTTCTCATTTATTCATACTGACACTTATATCAACCTTATCAGCCACAGAAAGGCTTTCATATAATAATTAATGTACAGCTTCTTTGTACGTGACAAAGAACATGCAGAATAAAACAAAGCTACATTATTTTATCGTTAGACCTTTAAAAATAATTAGCTTTTTATATATATTCATATGTTTATAGTTGTATTGTGTATTATAATGAAATTTTTAATATAAAGAAAGATTTTTCATATGAGTCTATAGTATAGGCTTAAGAATTTAGTTGATGTTATGTTTTATGCAATATCTGTATAGGTATGTGTAATTAATATAAAAAGATAATGTATTATAAAATCTATCTTTTTGCAAATTTTTGTCTAAATAAGTTCGTCAGCTAGTCTAAGAGCCTTGTACTTTAAAAAAATAGTTCTTGTAGTTTTAAAAGAAATCAATTGTATTTTTTTTTTAATGGAGCAAATTTTTGGTGACCATCTCCCTGGGCCGTGTTTGTTACTACCTATGTTTTATGGTTTCAAAAACATATTTCGCCTGGAAAAAGAATGAAGTGTCCACCACATAGTTTAAGATCTACGTATACGTTAGGTAAAGTAACATATACCATAATATCTACAAACTTTACACTTATAAAACTGTTGTAGTAAAATATTAATTTAATATTGATTCGCGGTGAGTTTTTCAGAATTATCCGAAGTTCAATTTTTCTAGAAACTGTTTTAGATTAAATGATATTGTATAAATTATGTAGATAACTGCCATGTAGTTATCGAGTGATAAGCTTTTGGTGACCGATGAGAATCATATTTTTAACTAGGTACGTTTTAAATAGATATAATTAGTTTAAGCTGGCTAATAGCCAGCGATGGCCATATAAATTTTAATAAAAATTTTTCGTTAATTTTTCTGATGTTTTAATACTTATTATCCTATTCCGGACTAAGAGAAATAAAAAAAAATCTAATATCATAAAAATTGGTCCAGCCGTTCTTGAGTTATGAATGGTGTAACTAACACGACTTTGTTTTATCTTATATATAAAATTTCCATGTCACAATGTTTGTTACCGTACTCCTCCAAAACGGCTTTACCGATTTTTACCAAATTTTATATGTGTATTCAGTAGGTCTGAGAATCGGCTACTATCTATTTTCCATACTCCTAAGTGATAACAATAAGGGTGCTCCTCCCAGACCCCACCCCAGGGACGAACCCGAGCGGAGCGAGGGTGAGTCGCTAGTATACATTATATATTTACCTTATCTTATATTATTTCTCTTTACTAAAACGTACTAACGTACGAACTTGCGAAAAAAAGATTGGCTGAATTGGTCGAGTCGTTCTCGAGTTTTGCGCTTAGCGACATTCATTTTATATAGACTAGCGACTCACCCTCGCTTCACTCGGGTTCGTCCCTGTCTTTCGTCGTCGTCGTTTTATTTATGAACCGATTGAAATAAAAAAAATACTAAATGTTAAGTGAAGCTTACTACAATACAATACTGAAAACCGTACTCAAATCGAATCAAATCTCAGTTACACTTTTACTATATGTATAGATGACAAAGCTCTTTAGGATTTATTTTTGGTGAAATTCAAAAAGCAGTTATATAATATTTAATTCGAATAAAAGTGTTTATAAGTGTGTATCAGTTAGTTATAAATAAACACATATAAAAACCAAACAATACTTTAAAAACCACCCAAAATGAAATTTGAAGAAAAACTCCACCCCTTACATGTTTGTTTGCTATGTTCATAACAATTTCGAAGTCGTTATAACTAGAATTAATAAAGTAATTAGCATTGTTGCTGGTGCAATACTTAAAGCATTTCTTATTCTTATGTTATACTTGAAGAAACGAAAGTTTTATTATTTGAAATTTTTTAAAGTTCCCCGTCTAACTTTTCTTACGTAAACGGAGTCGCTCAGTCAATTTGAGCTTTATTGTAAAAAGTTTTCTAAAAGGAATAGCTAGTTTATACTGACATACCTACAGCGATGTTTACAGAACATTGAATTGAATAAAGAGCTTTTAACTATTCGTATGATCATAAAAATATGCATCTAATAAATATGGCCTTTTTCTCAGAATATATTATTTTATTCGAGTTGATTGAATTAAAATTTTAAATAGAGGGATATATACATAATATTTTGTATAATAGATATAGTATAAGAAAATTGCAAAGATTGGTGTATTCTAACAAATGAACAAAAAACTCTTGATATATTGATGTGCTCCTGACGGATTCCGGCCACGGCGGCCTATCTCATTGAGACAAGCCAACTGCGCAGGAGATATTATAGTGCACAAGTGTACGCGCAGACACAAGTGCACTCTCTATTCCTGTCACTCTCATACTCCAGTGGGACGACTGCTCGACACGAACAGTGAGAGTTAAGGTGCAGGACCGACGGCTTTACGTGCTCTCCGAGGCACGGGGGTGAAACACCGCCAACTTCCCAACTCCGGGCTGTTAATGAGACTTACTATACAGAAAGACTCATTAACTAAATTTGGCCCGACCCGGGACTCGAACCCAGGACCTCCGAGTGTGCAGCCGTACATGCTAGCCACTACACCACAGAGGCAGTTGATATATTAGTGTAGAAACGTAAATGCTTTAAAAATATAATAATCCACTATATACTTACAGTGCAAATCAAGTTTTATTGAAGATTCCAGCACTGAATGATCGAGTTTTTCATGAGTCGCCTTGCAAGTGAGAACTCGACCATTGTGTTCCATGCTCGGCGTCCATCGTAGGATAGAAACCGTCTCGTTGCGATCTTCCGAGTTCTGAAATAAAATATATGATTAATTCCATAGTTCTGCGTTTTCTCTGCCGCTGCTAGAACCCAACAGAACCTCCTCCGTCTTAATGGGGCGCTTAGAACCTCGTTTCACTCTGCTGTCAGAGAAGTAATATAAGGGGTAGGAGGTCGGGGGGGGGGGGGGGGGTGTTGTGGTTAAATCTTGAATCCGACTTTATTTTAATTATTTATTAAATAAAGTTCATCACACATTAAATACGTTACAGACATAGGTCTTGTAGCTAAGCTTTGTGTTTTTTTTACAGTGTTATCCAATAATTAATATTAATTATTGTAAGTCGTTACGTCAGTTATATACTTTAATAGAAACTAATAAGTCCAATGATATATTAAAGAGCTATAGGTTAGGAGGAATAATTATAAAGATGAGTAGGTAAGTATAACGAAACTAATGTGACACGATAATTCCATTATTGTGTGTAACGTACATACAAAAATAAACATACACTCTAATTTTACTTCTTTCTTTTTCAAGTTGAACAATATATTATGAAAAAGGAATACAATGTCTGAGAGCATACACATATCGCATAGCAAATAAATGTCGATATTGGAAAACTTTTAACATAATTAAGAAGTTTTTGTTTCGTGAATCTATACTATTATAATTTATAATATAATAAAGAGGTAAAGTTTGCGAGTTTGTGAGTTTGTGACGTTGTAGGGGGTAATCTCTGGATTTACTGAACCGATTTAGATGAAATTTCGTAAGAAGATAGTTTGAGACCCTGTGAAGGACTTTTTCGTGGAAATCATCCCTTACGGGGGTGAAAATGGGGATGAAAGTTTGTATGGGGAATCAACCTAGGGACGAACTCGAGCGAAGCGAGGGTGAGTCGCTAGTTTAGAACAAAACTTTTGTACAACGAATACGTACAAAACGTATGAATAATATTGGTTTTTCAGCTGGATTTATTATTAAGTTATAAGTTATTGTATAATAAAATTCAAAGTGGTGTTTATCAAATTATTTTTAACTAAATTACTATACTAAACTTACGGTTCCGGAAACTCCAGTAATATTATTTTTTCCCTTTTTTTAGTCATACCTATTATGACGACATATTTGGCTTAGTATGCGGTAACCCTATTGGATGTGCCAGCGGTCGCGGGTTCGAGTCCGCTGGGGGCATTCTTTTGTGTGATGAGCTCGAATGTTTTTACTCCGGTCATGGGTGTTTATATTTAAAATATATACCTATATATTTAAAGTTATACATGTGTAGTCTATCAACTATCTCGTATCCATAACACAAGCCTAGTATTTTACCAAGGAACTAGATGGTGCTGTGTGTCCCAACATATTAAAAAAAATATTCTTACTTTTATATTCTATATGTAAATGAATTAAAATATTTTGTATATGAATAATACAACAGCAAGTAAACAAAGTGTGTAAAATCTTGGCATGTTTTTCAGTTATGTTGCATATAATTAAAGCTACATAGTGAGAGATATCTCATTACCATACGATAACAGAAAACTGTTTATGGAGTTCAACTTAAAGCAGTTCCTATGCAAAAGCGTTTTATTTTACCATATTCATATTGCGTAAATGAAGTTGCAAGAGAATAGCAAAATGTTATAATTTTTGTTCTTTAATCTTGTTTGTTTTATTACTAGCGAGATATTCTTGCTTCACTCGGATATTGTCCTCGGTGTAAATCTTATTAATAGCAATAACCTATGAGTTAGTCCAGGTCTATTTTCTGTGCACTAAATTTCATATCATCTAAGTCTGTCCTATCGTTCTAGGGTAAAGTAATAACAAAAATACACACATACACACAACATAGTTTTTTTCTCCTGTAAGGCACATAGGATCAAACCCGAGCGAAGCAAGGGTTAGTCGTTAGTATTACATAACATTTAAAATAAAAACATAAATTACTCTTACTTTTTGTGGATCAGTCACAATAATTTGCTTGTCATTGAGCCACCACGTGATGATTGCTGGGGGTCTGGCACCGACCGCCCTACAAGCAAGCTCTGCTTCTTGACCGACGGATAGCGGTTGTTCGCGTGCCAAAATCTCCACTAATAATGGTCGCACTGTAACAAATATATTAATTATTATTATATAACATAATAATTTAGACATTTTAACTTCACTCTATTGGACCAGACTCTATCAATGCTAGAAGTTTAAACTGTCCATAATCCGCTAGCCAAGTACAGGTTAGCGTATTTTACCCGTTTTTCAAGGACTGCTTGGGTTTTCTTAAGACTTTTCCTTGTTTTTTCCTTATTGGCAAGAAGTACTCGTAGTCAAGTCGAATAAATATTCGCATAACAACAATCCTAATGTAAAACCTCCCCATTTGAACCTACTTCACCAGATTTTCTAAGCGAGCACTAATATAAGAATAAACATGATAATAAACTGATAAAGACGTCAAAGTTACAAATAAATATTCTTAGAAGATTTTTGTTTGGGATATAAGCAATTAGTGTTTAATTATATACCAATCTAGAATAGCTGGAGAAAGTTCAAGATAAGATTGTTATGATTATATTGATTATATCATGGTGGATAATATAAATAAAAGGCATATTTTTTTTCTCTTTATGGCTTAGAGCTGTGTTGACAGACGCAATTCATTCTGCCAGTGTCACGTTTTATGAGGAAGACACGAATGAAATTGAGCGGTAATTATGAAATTTAGCAGCTTTAATGTGGAATTAAAAGTATAAATTAATAATCGGTCTCCAGGAGAAACCTACAACAATAGAAAAATAATTACGCAATACAAAAATGCAATGTATCATTGACATAAAATATTCAAAAGCTCAAAAAAACCAGCTCGTGTCACTATTTTTGTCATTTCACTTCTAAGGCGAATCCTTTCCATAGAATAAAAATATATTAAGTAGATAATATATTTACGCTATGTCACTTAGATCCAGACTGACAGATTTATAACTCCGTTTTCTGAATTCTGTTATTTTAAAAGACGCTTGACAACGGCTGCCGCAATTGTATTTTCAGTTTGAAGAAATATATCTCTATTCTGAGTAGAAACGTGCGTACCATATGAATATATTTTAATTTTAACATGTCGTTAAGGGACGAAATAAAAAACAGTGTAGTGCTGTGTTTTGTCATTTTGTTATATCTTTATATATATATATTAGGGTGTGCCAAAAAATGACGATATTTTTTTTTCTTAGCTCTCACCCCAAAATATCTTAGAAAATGTCCCAACAAAGCTCCTGTTAAAAGCGAAGCTCAAAATTTCAATTCTAAGAGGTTCTCCATTGAACTTTAAGTTTTCCCATACAAATTGTATGGAAAATATGATTTTTAACACTTTTTTGTCCTGCAAAGTATGACGAAAATATTTTTCAAAAAAATGAATGAATGGAATTACTATTAAATTTACTACAAAAAGTTCCATTGAGTCGAATTCCTATCTTCAATATTTTATTTGTTATGTAGCTTTAAAGTGGAAATTTATGGTTTTATGCATTTTTTAGCTAAACTGTAAGAGTTACAGAAAAATGTTAAATGGAAAATTTGTAGTACGTTTAAAATCCTATAAAAAAGTCCTTGTCAACTTTTTATATCATCAATAACAACAAAGTTACAGGCTCACGAATATTTATTTTTTCAAATGTTTGCTTTTACGAACTGAATTATCGATAATTAAACAAAAAAAAAATGGTACAAAATTGGATAGATCAAGTATTTTTTATTATCAATAATTAATAGTCACAGACTTATTTGACATATTTTAATGATTTTTCAAAGGATATTATAAAATATATTGATTAAAGACATAAAGTATCAGTAATAAAATTATCGTTGTTAGTATAGGTTCAATGATGATCTGATAAAATAATTAATCAACAAAATTTGAAAAATATGATACCAACATCAAAATTGTGTTAAAAGTTACGTTTCTCTGGCAAATTATAAGAAACCTTTGATGTACCTATAATTTGTTTATAGAAAATGATAAGGAGTATCCTCATTTCCTCTTTTTATTAATTAAACGTACGCGTTTTTTCTTTTGTCAATAATACTTCCTTAATTATATTGATAAAAACTTAAAAAAATTATAAAAACCAACTTCCAGGCATTAAAATGTAAAAAATAACTAAACGGAGGTTGTCATTTAGAATAGATACCTAATCAGATATTTTCGAAGTATATAACTTATTCGATTAAACAATTTATTTAAAAAATATATTTATTGTTGATTTTTAAAAAAACCGCTCGACCGATTTCAATAAAATTTATATAGGACTACCTGGAAAGTATGAACTATGAAACGCAAAAAATTTTTCCAAATCGGTTCAGGCGTCTTCGAGTAATCGGTGAACATACATAAAAAAAAGAAAAAAAAAAGATTCCGACGAATTGAGAACCTCCTCCTTTTTGGAAGTCGGTTAAAAAAGAAAACATATGCCTATATATCTATATATTTATGTATTATGTATAATGTAAGCAAAAATAACAAACAAATATTATGTTCACGTCCACAGAGCGAGGCCACTTGTAACATTTCTCGACAGTTCTAGTTTGGTAGTATTCATATTTCTTAGAAATTATATAGATGTTTATAAAGAAGGAAAACAAGTTAATTTCATGGAAAAGAATGAATTAGAATTTATTAGAATAATATCATGTAACAATTATAACAATATGTTAAGCTTTAATTTTTCAGTCGAAGGATATAAGTTCTGAATAAAATATTTATGATTAACCAAACAAGTATTTATCAGGATCTAACTGAATAGAATTCTAAACATGTCTCAAGTTTTTGTTGATTGAAATAAGTTTTATACAGCTTATTTTAAGTTTATTTCTTGTTGGAGGAGGGCGAAAAGTCCATTATGGTTTACATTATCAAATACACTGTATATGTATAGCAATGTCTAAGGTTTAGAAACTTCAATCAATTGATTATTATCAAAACTAGATAAAATATTATTACAAAGTCCTATTAAGAGGGCACAGAGCTTTTTATTATTAAAAAACTGATGAACTTCCTTGAATTATTTACGCCGCACGAAAGGTTTTTTTTTTTAGAGATCATTTTGGATTTTTTTCTATTGAGGAAACTACAAGTAATCGTGTTTTAGTAATAACAATACAGCAAGGGATCAAACGAACGCAATTATTATATATATAATTGAGGCGCCCTTAAACTAGAACAAGCAATATTCAATGTAGAAACAAATTCTTAAGCCCAGCATGTTGATACACAGTATGCCATATTAGAGTGTATACAGCTCATTGACAAAACTTGTACATCAGTTGGTAACAGTTATCATATCCCGTATAATGTGGATATATTATAGCGGCACAGTATATTTTGGGCCCCCTTAAAAATGGACATCATCTTTTTATTTCATTTGGTAGATTAAATAATTAGAAATAAATGACTAAAAGTCTCATGTGGCAAAATGAGTAGTTTTTTAAATATGATTTTTAAAAAAAAATTATAACTTTTATCCGGAGTTTACGAACATTAAAAATAATTCAAATATCTTTAAAGGCAAAATATGTTAAGTTATCGATTATTCATGTATATTTTGTGCAATCAAGACCGATCTAATATCATATATTTCGAGGTTTTGAGGAACATTGGATTTCCGTTTTCTTTTTTTTTTTCAAAAAACCCAGGATATTACACATTGATTTTAGCACAGGAGATACTTTAGTAATTCTTCTATACCTAAAAATATCGCGTATATAATTCCGTGGACTATTCAAGTAAAATCAATTCAAAAATATTCCTTATTGCTGTTCTTGAAGATATTTATCTACATACGTTAATATTACCCATATATATACATTACCTATTTACATTAAAACATTAATATATTTGTTAAAACTTATTATCCTCAAAAATTTAATTCTAAACGTAACAAATATAGTGGTACCGAAAAACATTCAACCAAGAAAACAACAATTCGTGATAGCAAAGTCGCAGGCAGAATCTTGTTAAAAATATCATTCAAATGTTATAAAAGACATGATGCTGTTAATATTATACGCAAAGTATTAACTAAAAGATCAAAGTATTATATAAATAACAATGACGCGACATCGCGTGATAATATTCTCTGCTCCAGTAACATTCACAAATATAATCTCAGAAAAATGTTGTACATTTTTGTATAGATGATTAGGTTACAAATAAAATATTTTTACGTACATTAAATACATAGTATATATATTTTTAGAGCAATGAAAGAAACCTTAGGCAGTACAATCGCAGCATTATTTTTTAATTAAAACTCTTTTGATAAATAACTACATAAAATTATAATTTTACTAGCAACTCACCCTCGCTTCGCTCGGGTTCGTCCTTAGGTTGGTTCCCCATACAAATCTTCTTCCCAATTTTCGCCCCTATAAGGGATGATTTTTGGGATAAAAACAACACAGACTCACAATTCACAAACTTTACCTCTATATAATATTAGTTTAGATTGGTGGAGAATAACAATAAGTGAGTACTATTTAAATATACGAGTATATTGGTATATTCTGGACATATATATTAAAGGATTTATATTATATATTAAGTTTACATCACCTACTTATATGGTCTTCCGTAGTTTAGAATTTTTTATCAGTCTAGACGTTATCACTGGGGAAGGAAGACGAGCTTACATTTGGCTTAGGTATGTTACGTGAAGCAAATCGGTAGTTCCGGGGGAATGGAGTCCTGTGAGGTTTGGACCATAGCTTGTGACCATGAACGAATTAGTCTCTAATTCGTCCATGCTTGTGACGTACTTTTATGTAGTATATAAAGTATAAAGAAACGCTTTCTTATACTTTTTATCATTAAATATTATGTGACATAAAGTTTCACAGACGAACTATTTATATAATGCAATAATATTTTAAGTATAGAAAAAAATACATCAGTTATAAAAAAATTGATGAAGCTATATCGAAACGATCAGACAACTAAAAAAGCACCCTACAAATTGTTTCAGCTACTTCACTATAAAAATTTTCAGTTTTATAAATAAATTCATGTAACAAGTATTATCTTCTTATTTTTTGATTATGCCATTATACATTTAGGTTGCCAAAAATTGATTTGTATTTTCTATAGGTTTACTTTTTTTATTACG